TTAGAAACATCAATCAGCTGCCTCCTGCACACTCCCTACTGGGGATGTGTCTGCAACTAAGGTACATGCCCTTGACCGAAATTGAACCTGGGACCCTTGAGTCTACAGGCCGATGCTTTATTCACTGAGCTAAACCAGTTAGGGCTCTCAGTAAAAGATTTAAGAAGATCAATTCATAAAACCATGTGTGAAGTTAACAGCTAAAAAGCAAAGCCACCAGATCAAATAGTAATCAGTATTTGCCAAAGTGGACTCGTGAAATGTTAGTAGACATTATGTGCCCCCCCAAAAAAGGGGGGGGGTCTTCAGTTAAATAAGTTTGGGGAGTGCTGTGATATGCAGAGTTTGCTATGTTTCTCTAGCATGAGACTTTTGAGAACCTTCAGAGGGATAACTGACACTGTTCCAGATGGGCCTGGCATTTGTTTCCTGAGCTTATTTGACCAAATATTGTCAGAATACTTAAAAAGCTTAGGTTCCAACTAATACACTTAGAGAAGCACTGCTCTCTCTGTTAAATTTGATAAGCCAGCTACTCTATGCAAAAGTTGGTACTGAATTTATTTCCAGTCTATTGCAGTGAAAACAGTTTTTATTTGCAAATAGCCAGAGCAATAGATTAGTTTGACACTCTAAACATGACATTTAAACACACATTTAAAGAAGACTATTCTTATTACAAACATCATTAGCTTCCAATTAATAATATTAATAAGAACAAACAAGGCAGATCTTGAAGATGAGGAACTGTATTATTTGGCATCAGGGCAGGAACTCGGGGGCGACTTTCTCCCAGACAGAGGAACTCATAGGGAAAATTGTTCCTATGCTAAGACCTCACAGCTTACTGGCAGCCATTTCTTTTTCTTTTTCTTTTTTTTTTTAATTTTAAAATATATATATTTTATTGATCTTTTACAGAGAGGAAGGGGGAGGGACAGAGTTAGAAACATCGATGAGAGAGACATCAATCAGCTGCCTTCTGCACACCCCCCACTGGGAATGTGCCTGCAACCAATGTACATGCCCTTGAACAGAATCCAACTTGGAACCTTTCAGTCTGCAGACTAACACTCTATCCACTGAGCCAAACCAGTTTCAACTGGTAGCCATTTCTGTTTGCTCTGCCTTGGTGATTCCCTAAGACCCCGCCTCATCCAATTTATAACCCTAACCAAGCTGTGTGCACAGGCTTTTGAAAATTAATGAACTGTTCTTTATCAGGCTTAAATTCCTCAAACAAGATGCAGCTGGGTCAGGGAGCTCCAAACCTATCAATAAAATGTCCAAGACCCAGCATCAGCTCCAGCCTGCTTTGCTTCAGAGATGGGCCCCATCTGAGCACTTCCAAACACAAAACAAAGAGGACAAATCTTCAGATTTCTTTGTAGCTCCTGCTGGGTGGCCCCAGGCAGAGGCTCACTTTGCACCTCCCTGGAGACCCAAGAGCCAATGTATCCAGTGGTCAGTGTCAGACCATACAGATTACAACTCTACATATCCATAAGCAACACACTCAAGGGGCAGACTCCGTGAGCACCAGAGCCCCACTGAAGCAAGTCCTGCTCCATAAGGGTATCTCCTGCACAGCAGCTCTCCCACTATAATCACAGGTGGTCCTCATAGCCAATTGGCCTGGAGGTCAATTCCTCCCACTAACACTAACAGCAATCAAGTCTCAACTACAACAAGACTGTGCTTACAGCCCACAAAGGGGTGCCTCTAGAGCTTCCAGCTCAAATGACTGTAGAGGCTGAGCCACTGGGCCCTATAGAACACCTACTATACAAGGCCACTCTACCAACTGAACGAGACATAGCAGCTCTACCAATACATAGAAACACAGTTTTAAGGTTATAAGATTACTCAATAATCTTCTAGAAACCTCCAAAAAATGGAGACCATTCAGAAATTAAGCATACACTGACTGAAATAAAGAATAATATACAGGAATTCAACAGTAAAGGATTCTGAAAATCAAAGATTGAAATATGAGGAAGCAAAAAACACCCAACCAGAAGAGCAAAAAGAAAAAAGAATCCAAAAATATTAAGATAGTGTAAGGAGACCCTGGGACAACTTCAAGTGTACCAACATTCACATTATGAGGGTGCCAGAAGAAGAGAGAGAGCAACATATTGAAAACCTATTTGAAGAAATAATAATAGAAACTTCCCCACACTGGTGAAAGAAATGGACTTACAAGTCCAGGAAGCACAGAGAGTCCCAAACAAGGGGAACCCAAAGAGGACCACACCAAGACACAACATAATTTAAATGCCAAGGGCTAAAGACAAAGAGAAAAATCTTAAAAGCAGCAAGAGGAAAGCAATTAGTTACCTACAAGGGAATGCCCATATGTCTGTCAGCTGATTTCTCAGTAGAAACTATGCAGGCCAGAAAAGAGTGGCAAGAAATAGTCAAAATAATGAATAGCAAGGACCTACAACAAAGATTACTCTACCTAGCAAACCTATCATTTAGAATTGAAGGTCACATAAAGAGCTTCATAGACAAGAAAAAGCTAAAGGAGTCCCATCACCACCAAACTTGTATTATATGAAATATTGTTAAAGGGTATTCTTTAAGAAGAGAAAGAAGAAGAAGAAAAAGATTAAAAAAATACGAACAACAAAATGATAACAAATACATACCTATCTACAATTAAATCTAAAAATAAAAATAAACAAATAAAAATCTAATGAACAGAATAAACCGGTGAATAAAATGGAATCAGAGGCATGGAAATGGAAGAGACTGATGATTCTCAGAAGGTAGAGGGGTGGGGAGGTGGGAAGATGTTAAACAGAGATCTTATATGTATATATGCATTACCTATGGAAACAGACAATAGGATGGTGAAGGCCTGGGGTGGGGTGGGAACCAGGTGGAGGGGGGCAATGGGGAGAAAAAAAGAGGGACATCTGTAATAATCTCAACAATAAAGATTTTTTAAAAATAATAAAAATTTAAAATTTAAAAAAGAACAAACAAGGCAATGAGACCTATTAGAACGTGATTGTGGCTTTAAGGTTAGAGAATTTCACTTTGATGACTTGGAGAGGCAGATGAATTAATGCCAATGGGGCAGAGCTTTGTTTAGATTGAGGATCTCTAATCAGAGCCAACAGTGGTTTGAGGAACTATAGATGAGCAGATATGTAGTTAGGCTTGCTTATCTGCAATGGGATGCTTTTCAACATAAGAGCTGCCCATATTTCCCAGCCCAAATTATACAGTGGATCTGTAAAAAATTGAAACTTCTGATTCTAGCACTGAGGAAGAGGAGGAAGAATAAAGAGTTGCCAAGCCATCACAGCCATTAAAAAGAAAGCTTGGTTTGGAATTGGTGGCGCAGGGCTAGCCTGAAGACAAGCAGTTAGGAAACACAGAACCATGCTCTACATCATTCCTTATACAGGGATGCCCCTAACCAAACTGTCTTAATCGGTCTGTGATCAAAAACCAAGTTAGTCACTAAAGTGCTATTAAAATGAGATGGGGTCCAATTGTTAAATACATTTTTTTCCTTTATGTGTAGACATCAAGTGTGAAGACAGACATTGTTTTAGTTCTGATGTGAAATTACATTTGCTCTCTAACAAAATATTCAAGTTTGCTCTTTAACCACATTGAAATGACACTGCACAGAGTAATTTAAGAATATAAGGGATAAAAATAAAATTTTTATTGGGAAGAGGAAATCTTACATACAATTAGGTATAGAGCTGATGAAATGTATTACAATAATGAACAAATACCACAGATTTTGCAAGGGAAAAGTTAAAAGCTTAGAACAGGTTTCCATACACAATTTCTAAGCAGGTTTAAGTAACAAGATCCCAATTTGCATGTTGTACAGATCATTGAGGGAAAAGCTATTGCTTTATGTTTATTTCTGGTTCATCAATTCAGTGTGTTGTGTAGATTATCTCTGGTGATCCTGATCTTCTTCTAAAAAGGTTCTCTCCATCCATAAGTGGACACTTACTAAGAAGTCACATTTCAAGTAGGATGTTTTTGCTCTTTGTGAATTAAACAAATGCCAACATGCTTCTACATAATGCCATGGTTTTAAAGACAGCTGCTTGAACCACATCTGGAAGAGCCCTTCCATCTTGAGGAGTGATTAGGTCATATGCATATGTGTGTAAAGAGTTTGGGAATGGCACTGGAATATGTGCACAGCATCTTTGTTAATAGAGTTTTAGATCTCATGTGAGCTAATAGAATCTGTAATTCTGGAGGCTATTAAGTTAATTATCTATCTGGTGTGGGAACCATCCTCATTTGGAGTATTCATTTTGCTTATTTCTAACCCCCAAACAGAAAACATCCAACAAGAACAATTTCATCTACATTTATTTAATTATAACAAAAGTAGAACAATGAATACCAAATGGAAAAAGATATCCAAAAAAGTTTATGCAAATGTTTAGAAACAGAAAAAACTAATCAAGCTGAAGGAATTACCCAGATGACATTAAGAACATTTGCACGTTATAATTGGTTATCAGTATAAATTAAATTTAGTAACTGCGTTCCAATTCACTAATAAAAGTTATCAAAATATTTTCAAAATGTTACATCCATAAATATTACATAAAGACCAAACAAAAAATCATATAAGAAAAATAAATAATGTATTCTGAAATAAAATACAAATCACACTTGTCATGTCATACTCCTTTCTCCCTCACATATAATTGTGAAGATTTGGTATTTTGCACATTCCAAGATAAAATGATGAAAATATATGTTGATGCAAATTTCTTCCATAAAAATAAACTATTTTGTATCTTAAATATTCCTATGATGAAATATCAGGACTCCAGTTTCACTAATAAAAACATTATGAAGGCATACATTGCATTTGGTTTGACTCCTCAAAGCATGGCTGAAAACTCTCAACAAAGCATTGTAGGCTTTTTTTTCTCACACCAACTGACCCAGAATATATTTTAAGAAATGTTTATTTTCTGTGCATATTTGTTTTAAAATTATAAATTCCTGAGCACTTTTTCTTCTTTCTCCTCATCACTATCAGTGACATTGATTTGCTGGATGCTAGCGGGAGTTGATGTAGGAGCTGTTAAGACATTCTCCAAGACTCCGATGTCCAGCTGAGGCATGGGATTTAGGAATTCTTCCCCACTGTGGCTATGACTATTATAGTAAGAGGTCCCATCCATGCTCTCACAACTCCGAGAATCTTCACTGTGTGTGCGTTCCTCTGGGTAGTCTCTGAAAGGATAGTCTCTATTTAAAGCTGAAAACATAGCCTCATGTTTTTGGTACCTGTCTTCATAATAACCAAGGCATTCTGGCATTGAACTTGGAAAATTTCCATAGCCAAAGGGAGGCCGACTATAGGGACACGTGCTGCAGCAGAAAGACAAAAAAGGAATTAGATCATGCCTTGCCTACATGTTGTCTCGCTTACAGACTAATTGATCAAGTTTAACTGCATCCTTGGAAGGTTCCCAAGATAACTTTCTGCTACCAGGTCATGTATTCATTTGCTCTTTTACTACTGCTTAGCCCTAACAGAAAACAAATGGCGAAGTAATAAGCAGGTGACTCACTAGATTACCATCTATCATCAGCCTTCGGCTTCTTTTTGACAGCCTTGATAAAGAAAAATTACTTATCTGGTCCTTTCTCTCATGTTGCCTGGCATCAGTAAAGTTTTGGAAACACAGGCATGTGCTGTGCTTTTTAAAAACTGACAGTAAGCAATGCAATAATTGTTCTTATTAATATTTTATAAAATTTATCTTTATTATTGAAAATATTACAGATTTTCCCCCCTAACCCCATTGATCCTCTCCTCCCTGTTCCCACCCCCTCCCCAGGCCTTCTCCACACTATTGTCTGTCCATGGGCTATTCATATATGCATATAACTTCTTTGGTTGATAGAGTCCTGCCCTGCTCCCTTCCCTCTGAAATACATTAGTCTGTTGCAAGCTTTAATGTCTTATGAATATTTGAAACAAAGCTCAGTGGTTGAGCATCAAACTATGAACCAGAAGATCACGATTTGATTCCTGATCAGGGCACATGCCCTGGTTGAGGGCTCAATCTTTGGTGTGGGGCATGCAGGAGGCTGCAGATCAAAGATTGTCTCTCATCATTGATGTTTCTGTCTTCTCTCTCCCACTCCCCTCCTCTCTGAAATCAATACAAATATATTTTTTAAAAAGAACAGTTAACACCAGAAAGATTTAGAACTGATATTAAATTTTGGTTTTAAAGATCTTTTCAAAAAAAGATTTTTTTTTTGGAGGGCAGGAATGTGAAGAATTGGAAAAATTGTTTTGATGATTTCTTAAAAGGCAAAAACAATGATAATTTTTTAAAGGCAAATCTAAAAATTCTACTATTCAAATCCATTTGTCAAAAAAATACTTTTTTTTTTTTTTTTTTTTTTTTTAATATCTTTTCTCACTTTCAAAGGCACAGAACAGGAATCCAGCAATTGCAGGAGGAGGTATATAGAAAAGTCCAACCAAGACTTCTCTGGGCTCATGGACTCCATCTAGTGACAGATAATATAAACATAATGATCTCAGAAAAACCTATAATAAGGTGGGTGTTTTATTTCATGCTCCCACATTAAAAAAAAAAAAAAAGAAAGAAGTCAACTTTGTTTCCTTCCCTTTAAAAGCATAAGTATGATGAACATTCTAGACTACCATCTCAAACTCTTGGAAAATATGGTTATATTCAGTGGTTTGGTATCTCACCCTTCAAATCTCCAAGTGCCAGGGACCTTGTTAAATATCACAAATATGAGGCCAAGTTTCTAAAATGCTTCATGTTTCTGTTCCTACTGCCACATCCTCATTCGGGCATTTTTAAAAAAATATATTTTTTATTGATTTTTTACAGAGAGGAGGAGAGAGGGATTAGAAAGCTAGAAACGTCGATGAGAGAGAAATATCGACCAGCTGCCTCTTGCACACCCCCTACAGGGGATGTGCCCGCAACCAATGTACATGTCCCTGACCGGAATCAAACCTGGGACCTTTCAGTCCGCAGACTGACGCTCTACCACTGAGCCAAACCGGTTTCGGCCATTCGGGCATTTTTAATTCAATGCATATGTCATCCTGAACAATTGTGCTTCCAGCTACTATGACTTAGCTCCTGTATCCATTCTACCTTTAGGTCCCTCCATCCATGATGCTTCAGGGGGTGCTCAAAGCTATCTCCTCCACCAAGCATTCACATCAGCTAGAAATTCAACCACTACTTTCTTTCTGGACTAAATACAGGCAAGATACTATGTAAGGCTTGATGGAGAATTTGTTTAAAGTAGGCCTAAAATCTAGATGTGTACTAAGCATTTGCTGAAGTCTAAAATGCAAACATCACATGGCTATATTGGTATATATATATTTTTAAAAGTTAGTGTTATATTCAGAGAATAAAAAATATTAAGACAAGGTTATACAGATGAAAATGATTAACTAGAAGCATCATGGTATAGTGACAAAAGCATCAAACAGAATAATAATATTAATCAGCATATAATAAGTATTTATTATGTTTTCTAGACAGTGGCTAAGGAGTATATGTTACCTTAAATATTCCTTGGAACCACTCTATGATATAGGTACTATAATATCTCTACTTTACAGATTAGGGAATGGAGTTTTAAAGAGATTAAGCAATTTTTTCAAAGTTATATAATTAGTAAGCAGTAAAATAGAATCAGGCAACCTGACATCAGAACTTGTTATCCTAACTACCACAGCATGCTACCTGGGCACTAGTCCTAGCTGTGCCACTTACACACCTGGTAATCTTAAATCTTAAGTTATCTGGGCCTTATATAAAATAGGGATAATATTGCCTGTTTTGCCAATTTAAAAGGTCTGTCATAAGTAACTTGTGAGTAACTCAATGTATATTGAGTACTTTGGAAACCAGAAATACTTTCAATGTATGATTAGCCTTAAAAAGAAGTTGCATTTAATAATGTACTGCTAAATATACACATATATGTACATTTTGGGTTTATTTCCAAAAAGAAAGAATGTAAAGATAAAATAAAATCTAATTAAATTGGTTAGCTATAGAAGGAGAGAAGAGGAAAGGAAACAAGAAAAGGGAAGCCAGACTTCTTCTTTTTTAAAAAAATATATTTTATTGATTTTTTACAGAGAGGAAGGGAGAGAGAGAGAGAGAGCCAGAAATGTCGAAGAGAGAGAAACATCGACCAGCCGCCTCCTGCACATCCTCCACCAGGGATGTGCCCGCAACCAACGTACATGCCCTTGACCGGAATCGAACCCGGTACCTTTCAGTCCACAGACCGACGCTCTACCACTGAGCCAAACAGGTTTTGGCCAGACTTCTTAAAATGTACCTTTTATTATGGGGTTTAAAGGGCAAAAAACTGATGATTTTTTTTCCTAAAAAGCAAATCTGAAAATTCTGATTTTTAAACCATATAAGTATATTATATAATTTTAAACAAATTTAGTTTTTAAAAAATAGTCCCTAAAAATTGAAAGCAAGTATACCCAAGTTTATATCAAGTTGTAGGTGCCTTAAATATACAGAGAAAAGATATTTCAAGATAATTTAAATCTGATATTTTCATTGTACCTTCCTGGTAAAATATAACCATGGAGAAAAAGAAACAAATAAATTTTAAACTTCATTCAGTAATTTTATTATGGTATCACTGCTTTGAAACTATTGATATTATTTTGAAAAATATTCTCTTTGTGTATATATGTGTATGTATATAAAAAAAACATGTTTGGTAGGATAAAGTAAATAGGTAATGATTTTATTATCATTAGGAACCAAGATTTTTAGGGAAGAAAGATACTATGCACATAAAATCAAAGAACTTCATGTGAAACTCTATAATATTATATTTATTCCAGAAATATCAATATAAACTCAAATTTTCTCACAAAAATACATATTTTTATTGAAAAGACCTAGATACCCTGCTAATTCAGTAGCAATAAGCATGCCTATTGCCCAAATTGCTATTTCTAAATATCACTTGGAACTCTGGGTAAAATGGTTGATTCCAAGTCTGGTATAATTAAGGGACAAGGTAAATCTGGAACATACTGTGCCAGAGAGCAAAAAAGTTATCAAATCAAAGATCAAGGACATAGGAACAAAGCCAACTGGACAAAAAAAAAAAAAAAAAAAAAAAAAAAAGGAAAATTTGAGCATCAAAATATATGAATAAATAAGGACTGCAAAGTATTAAAACATATCAAATGTAGAAAATATTCATAATGATATTCCTAAAATAACACAAAATTCATTGATATGTGGAAAGAAACAAGAGTTGGTCCTTCCAAATTTCAAAGTAATCAAATAGTTGATGAGGAAAAGCTTTTCTTCATAAAAGAATTCCAGCTAATGAATGAATATCAAATCAGAAAAATCATCATTTGCAATCTCATGTCTCTAAGGTAACAATCATCTTAGTTACTACAATAATTACACTGTTATTTCTCAACCCTAAGTGACCATTAGAATTACACAAGGAAATTTTAAAGAACACTGCTGCCCAGGTTCTTAACCACCAAAGATTCTCATTTGTTCTGAGACCTTCAAATGATACTACTGTACAGAAGAGAATATTTGAAACACTGCTTTAGGTGGGGAAATTTATGATTAGGTTGACAATACCTGAACCTACAGATCATTCTAACATCACTAATAAAAACTTTTGTACCTCCAAGCAATGGACATAAAACTCTGGGGAGAGGGGGGATGTATGGGAGGGAGGGGGGCAAAAAAAAATCAATAATTTAAAAAACAAAACAAAAAACTTTCGTACCTCTTGATGTGATACAATACAAAATACAAAGCACCACGTATGAGGTATCATTGCAAAAACAAACAAACAAACAAACAAAAAATCTGAACCCGAATTTAATCCAGTTACAAGATATAACTATAATTTTATAGGAAAAATGGGTGATAGGGAAACATGTTAAATAATAAGCCAAATTCAGGATGTGGGTAATTTCTTATTTCTTCAATAAACACACGGTATTAAAAAAAATGGTAAATACTATTGTAGCATAAAAGAGGCTTAAGAGCCATAATTACATTCAATATGTATTCTTTGCTTGGATCTTGCTTTAGACAAACCAATTGTGAAAAGGCAGTTCTGAGACAATGGTGGAAAATTAAACAATAAGGAATTATTAATTTTTAGGTATGAAAATAGGCCATTTTTTAAAATCCTTAAATAGTAATTATAGATACTGGTATAGTTACAGGTGAAATCATATGATGTCTATAATTCACTTTAAAATACTTAAGATACTTGCCCCAAAAGGTAGGGGGAAATGAATAAATGAAGGAGCTAAAATGTTGATAATTGTTGAG